ATGCCTATGGTGTTTCTGACCAAAGTGCTTTCAGTCCAGACCAAGTTCAGGTTTGATCTTGCCAAGCCTCTTTCTAAGACTAAATTATATTTAACATTTTCACTTCCACAACTCACTTCACTTCAACAGATCACAAGCAGAATCCATGACTGGTTTTAAAAGTTACCAAGTGAAAATACAAATGCTATGAGAAAAATAATATGTTTAAGTCTTCTGAAATCAGAAACTAATACTATATATAATAACAATTTAAATAACACTAGGAATAAGGCCCGTTGTGGAAATAAATACAAAGAGCTCTAGAAAGAGGCTCTGGGCAGGTGCCCTATCCTTGGGCACTCAGCGTCAATTTGCTGTGGCAACCTCAGCAGGGTACAATGACACAGAGTCCACCGTTTTCCCCAGGGGAACTGATCTCTGCCACCTGGAAAGCAGTTGTAATTTTGAGTGATCTCCAGCCCTCCCCTGGAGATTGGCAACAATGGTTCCCCAGGAAGAAATAGCTGGTTTGGAGGGTGGAGTCTATGGCACTGTACCTGTCTGAGGACCCACCCCTCCTCAAACCCCACCCTCTCCAGGCTCCACCTCTCAAATCTTCAGGAATTTCCCAACATGGAGGTGGCAATCCTTGTAAGGACTGGCTCCAATAGTTCCCCACCAAGGCCAAAGAAGTCCTGGAATGGGCCTCCTGCCTTTGCCTTTGTTCTGACAGAACCAAGCTTGTTTGCCTAGCAACAGCCACTGAGGGAAAACGTAGCTCCACAGGAGCCAAGCAGGAGAAGTATCTTCATCAGGAGGGGCGATGGAGTAGCGAGGTGGTTGGAGAACCAGAGCTCTGGTTCTCACCAGCCTTTGGAGTCTTTTTAGGGGACTTTCTTGACATTTCTGGACTCCTCCAGATTTGACAAGGGTCCACCAGTTCCTCGGGAGTAGGAAACTGGAAGCAGAAGACTTAAACTGAGCTCCCTGTTTGCGGCAACAACAGGTGAAGTTTCAGTTTGTCTTGAAGCAGAAGCTCCAGAAGGACCGGTCACGCATTTCGAGGCTGGAAAGCTACATCAAGCCCCGAAAGAGCCTCCATACCTCGCCACAAATCATCTTGGCGAAGACTCCTTAAGCAACCTTATCTTCTACTTTAATAGTTAAGCCCGTAAACAGACACTTGATTGCCCCTATAAATCTGTCCAGAGACAAAGGGAGGGTAAAACTCTCCCTCCAGTAGCCACACAAAGTTTTGGATTTTATTACATCAAACATGCAGGGGGAAAACAACATTTTGAAATGTTTTACCTGCTATTTAGAAAATATTGTTACAGAAACTTATTTCACTCTTAAAGAACTTTGATGGAACTATTGAAAGTGAAACAGGCTAAAAGTTAAGCCAAAATGGCGCTGAGGCAGCAGTTTCTTTGTCTGAGTTTCTCTATGCGTAATTAGGCTGTGAATGTTGTGCCTGTTAAGGAGTGAAATGGCTCTCGCAGCTCCATTGGAGACGAAGGATTCTAGGACAGATGAAAATATACAACTGTTCTCAGATGATAAATGGGACTGTTTAAAATGTCAATTGATGGGAAAAATTACAAATGCTGTTATGGAAGCTTTGGGAGAGTATTGGGACTGTTTTGAAGAAAAGATTACAGAGACACAGAATCAGATGACATCAGTTTCTACACAAGAGGAAAAACGACAGGAGCTGTTTCAACACTCAATATCTACAATAAGAGACTTTCTTAGCCACTGCTTTGATGAGTCGATTGGACATAATATGGATGACGTAGGCTGTTTGTTTTTGTACACAAACAGGCCAGAAGAGAATGAGACATTCAAAAATCAAAGACTCAAAAGAACGATTTTGATGAGACATTTTCAAAGAAAGCAAGAGAAATTTAAATTTTTTAAACAAATGGAAGTAGCACTCTCTGACAGTTAGCATGGCTTTATTAGCAGAAGAGATAAAGATAGACAAAACTAGAACTTTTAAACTGATGAGATCTGTATATTTACTATGTGCCTTGAACCTGATTTACACGACTAGTTGATATCCAATTGATTTATTAATATAATCTGAAGCAAAGTATTTTAATCCCTACAGTATCTTGAATGATTAATGAAAGCTAAAGATATGGGCAGTCTGAAATTTTAGAGAGGATAAGTGGAAGTAGCACTCTTTGACAGTCTGTATGGTTTTAATTGGTTGAAGGAATAAT